CTGGTCCTAAGGCCCGAAACTCAGTAGCAGCGGCGTTGCATGCCCCCAGGGGCCTATTACGGTCGGTAATTATGCATTGACCGCCGGTCGGTAACTTTTTTTAATTATCCTAAGGAGATAAGTGTGCCCGTGGTAAAATAGAACACCGTATTTTGTAAGACACATTATGTATATTATAAAGCTGTAGCGCATGATACATTTTCGATTATTACCGTATTGTTGACGCGAATCTGCTTTAAGTCGTAAAAAAAACGAACCCTGATTAATTGGTAAGGTCTGGTCCCTGATTCTGCCCGTTGCCCAAGGCGCGTGACATTCTCCGAACAATGATGTAATCAGGGTTCAGATCGTCTCTGAAGAATGTCTTTATCTCGGCTAGGTGAAAATCCCTGCGGGCGTACAGCAGCATCGAATAACAACAACGTGCAGTGGAATACGCTTAATGCTTTATAAATTATTGAGAAGATATGGGGAGATGGAGGTGTAGGAAACAAAAAAGAAACAGTTTTTTTTTTTAAATAAAAATATATTATACACATTTTGCAAGAATCATCAAGCGTACAGTTTTTATTACGAAAAAAAGGGCCCTATGCATGGCTGTTCTGGTCCTCCATGGCGCTCTGCACGAAAGAAAGGTACTCGTGATTATACAGGGACAGCAGCTTCAACAATAATTGATTAAGCGCCGGTGACCACAGGCTTTTCTTCTCCAGAACCAACCGAAGATCGCCCAATATGTTGTCCGTGGAGGAGGTGTCATTTCCGCGACGGTCGAGTTCCGCAATCAGCGTGTCCTTACAGTTGTTAGCACTATCGGTAATCTCGCGTCGCCTGGTTATTTGAAAGGTTACGCAGCGCAATGGGTTTTATCAGCGATCAGCGTTCTAACGATAGTCCTTACGCACAGCGCATATGTACCCATGAGTGGTTGGCGAAAGAGGAATGGCGTATGTCCTACGATGATAGTCCCAAATGCCGTATCACGTATCGACGCCCTATGGACAAATCAGAGCTAGCGACATTGAGGAAAAGGTGTAGCAGGCCCACACCGGAAGAACAACCGCACCGTGCACCTATGCGTCTAGAGTCGCAGGCCTGGCCCTAGCTCTTTTAACACCCAAGCCATCGTTATCCGTAGACACCGGCATTGTCTGTTTGATAATAATTGCCCGCTCACCGTATGAGTACGTAAAGGCTAGCTCATGAGTGGGCATGAGAATAGGAGTATTAAAAGCCTTGGGTACCTCCTTGATGTTATCCTCGGCGGTAAAGAATTTGGATTACGCGAAAGCTGCGTCACACTGTGGTGCCTGAGAGCCATGCGAGCGTACGAGACAGCACTACGCACTCTGGAGAAACGATTTAGTTTGACAGAATTTATTGGATGTGTTACCCTGACGACGCGGGATGGTCCACCGCGCCTAAAATATACAGAATAATCTTGATTAACGATGCGTATCACAGGTGATAAGCTTCCCGAAAGATTAAAGAGAAGCCGGTGATCACTTGTTTCGAAAACGATCGGTTTAGACCGTACACAGTAGAGAGCAGTACTTGCTTCTTGTACATGATTGTAGTAAATGCTATTGTACGATCGGTGCGATGGTCTAAGCAGTACTGTCGAAGGCGATATCTAAAAAACAGGTCATCGCAATATCGTCGAACATATCCCCCCACTACCATAGCCACACCCCTTTTTCATAGGATACAGCGAACAAAGAGCCTATTGCCATGATATAGTATACTGCTGATACCGCAGGATGTATCAAAGATGACGAGATGCTGATATCCTATACCGAGTGATTCACGTGGTACAGCTGGGTACATCTACATCAGCGTTAAGATGATCCGGTGAAAATGAAAACACACGGTTGGGGCACGCGCGAGCAGGCAACGATGTACAGTCTAAGAAAAGTAATAGAATCATTAAAACCATACAGTGCAAAAATTTACTGAAAGATACCGAAGAAAAAGAAATGGCTCGCTACGACGACGACAACGATTTTTTGAAGCATAGACGTATGCAGCGGGCGAAGACACGAGCCCTCTATCGGTACGTCAACCCTGAGCACGATCCAGAGAAAGAGGCCGTACGCGAGTGGTTGAGATTGGGCCATTTAACGGGTGTACCGCTAGTCTCGATATACATGGCGAAACCGGGAGTGCTGGACGCTGATGTGTTATACAATCATAACCCTAACATGATCTGCCGTAAGGGGTGGCCGTCCGGTGTAAGACCCGTGATACTACCCGAACTGTCTATAGCAACGATACTGGCTGGAGGACACCGTGATTTCACACGTTGTAGCGTAAC